AATTTAAAATTCAAATCAATCTTTCTTTGATTTAGTTCTTTCAGATAGTGTATCTCTTTAACTATTTCGAATTGTCACTTATTATAGTTTTTAAATATAAAATTTTTATTTCGGTTGTTTACATCAAACTAATTCAATTTTCATTATTATGTGACTAATTCAATTTTCATTATTATGTGATTTAATGAAATAAAACACATGTTAATTAATTAAAATTAAGTAAAATAAATTATAAATTTAAACACGTGACATGCTCACATGCATATATTGAATTAACGTAAACACCCCGTGCAGATAAATTGCTAAACCTAAATTTCAAGCAATACCCATTAAAATTATGTAATTTCTTTTTCCATATTTATTATACATAAAAATCATCTCACCATATTTCGTCGTCGTTAAAAACATAAACAAAAATTGGAAGTTGAACCATAAATTAATACTTTCACCGTTCGGAAGTGTTTGTCATGTTACGCTTATCGAAAATTAATTTGACTAATTTTTAAAGGTTAATTGCATCTCATTAATTCGATATTTCAAACAAAAAAATTAGATATTCTAAAACTATATAAAAAGTACTATAAATTACAATTTTTTGCATATTAATATGATGAAAAAATACATCTTAAAATGTTAATCAAAGTTTTTATAGTTTAACTCTAAATATAGAAACCATGACAAACAATATCGGACAAAAGAAATATTTCTAGGCAAAACATTTATTTTTTTTCCGCGAAAAATAACTCGGAAGTGCTATAGTTACTAGTTTCATTTCATTAGAGAGATAAGAATGATTTTTATATAAATACTTTCGGAATATGAATGAGTTTTGCGCCTACGGTAGACGGAATAAGGTCACTGTTTTATGGGGGCAGTCCTGTGTAAATAATCCTAATATGTGAATTTAAGTTTTATACTAATGTGAAGTTTTTAGAATAATATAATGTAGTTTAACTTATTTTCCAAATTTGTTACTCTTTTTATTTTATGAAAATTATCAACAACGTAACAATAATAATATCTTTGCACTTAACTTACCCCTAAAAGTTAGCTAAAAAAAAAAAGAGTAATCGAAATCGTATAAATTATACAAGGAGATTACTATCCTCATTAATCGTCAAAATAGACTCTTTTTATCTCTTCTTCTCTTTAGACAAGTCCTTGATAAAAATACTGACTAATTCATTTGAACAAACATCCAATCCGCTAAATATCATCAATTAAGTATAATGGTAAATTCCCCAATAAGCATTATTTAGGCTTAATAAAATTTGATCAACCTTATTTTATATTTTACTTTTGTTACAAAATATAACGAGGTTTAATTCGATACAACAAACAAACAATAAAAATGTTAATACCAAATTAAACACATACCGTATGACTAATTATGTTAATTAGATTAATTGCTTCACCATATATACTACTCCATCTTTTTTCCTTTTGTGATAGTTATGGAACAGTATCCTAAAAAGGTAATGCATTGAATAATAATATCACTTACTACTTAAACTCTCAATAATTCACAAAAAAATAGCAACATTTTACGTGCTACGTCTAGTAGTAGCATTTATTTCATACAATTATTCAGTTACTTACTGGAAGCCATAGATGTGGAAATATCATTGTTTGTTGCAATTACTGATCAATCAGGTAAGAACTACTCATTTCTTTTCATATATTCAGGCACTACACTTTTATTTTTCTTCACAATTTAATTAATTTGTTATCATCTAATAGAATTTTTAACCAAATTAAGTCATTATATAAAATAATTTATCAAAGTAATACATTTTTCTAAAATTTTACAAAACTAGTATAAACGTATTTCACGGTAACGTTTTAAAGTATATTTTATTTTTAAAAAACTTAACAGCATTAGGTTGATATACGTTACTGCGAGTAACGTATATCAATCTGACGCCATCAACTTTTAAAAAATAAAATATGTCCTAAAACGTTACTGTGAAATACGTTTATACTAGTTTTGTAAAATTTTAGAAAAACATATTATTTTTGATGAATTATTTTATATAATGACTTAGTTTGGTTAAAACCTCTCGTCTAATAAATACCATTTGTCTTTAGTTCCTTAAACAATTAGCTAGACTAAAAATTTAATTTCCTCACTCCAACTCATTTATAACTCCGGTAGAAAAGTCATGCTTCTATTTTTTAAGGAACGTGTTTTTATAATAAAATTAATATAACTTTTTTTTTAATGTAGTGGCGAAGTAAAGTGAAAAGAGAATATTGAGAATTCAATAATATCATTGCAGTCTAATAAATCAATTTTTTTTTCAAACATTTAGTACTATTTAAAATTCAATAATGAAATCTAAAAGATAATCTTTTTAAATTATGAAGCTGCACTCTAAAAGATAAGGAACAGTACACAGTAAAATTAAACAATATTGCTTTTCGCTCTTTTGTAAATTGTATTTATAGCTAATTTCATCATTACTAGTCACATTATTTTGTTCATATTGATTAGAGTACTAGGACACTTGCTATATACTGAACAATCACTGATTTCTTCATTCATAATTTAAATTATTTTCAGCTACAAATAGTAGTATGTACCTAATGGAATTAAATGACTTTTAGATTTAATTATCAAACTATAACAACAAAACATTTATCACTGTGAAAGTCACTTTTTGGGTATATTTTTACACAATATTAGGGGGTTCCAATATTAGGTTACAAAACTGAGCAGCAAAGAACTTTCAGCTAGTACAAATAATTCCTCAAGTGGTGTGTGTGTATATATATATATATATATATATATTATT